CTGTTGTTGTCTGTTGTTGTCTGTTGTTGTCTGTTGTTGTCTGTTGTTGTCTGTTGTTGTCTGTTGTTGTCTGTTGTTGTCTGTTGTTGTCTGTTATTGTCTATTACTGTTTATATATACATACATAGTAGGTGAGTAAGTGAGTTGGCATACATGTATATATATCATCTTATATGAGTGCAAGTGCAAGTGCAAGTACAAGTGCAAGTGTGTTAAGTGTGTTAAGTGTGAGCGTAAGTGTAGGTGTGTTAAGTATAAGTGCAAGTGTGTCCCAGAGACTCTGTCGAAAACATCGTCACGTGGGACTATATATATTTATATACATGTATATGTCTTGAAAGTACCAAGCGCGAGGCATGCATGCACAATGGACAAAGTCTGACAGGTCGTCCAACAGGTTCTTCAACAGGGTCTTTGTACGACTATTATTAGAGCTAATTAAAAAGTGTTTTATGGCTGGCGCGCGCGTCCGGCTGGGAGTGAGACAAGACGGATAGTGCAAGTCTCGAGTTGTGCGGCCGGGCTTGTGTCTTGACAACAACCAAGGCAAAAATTATGGACAAAATGCAGTCATGTGTAGTGTAGAAGAACAAACAAAAAAACCACTTGGTACACTGTTGTACTCCAACTCCTGCTCGAAACGAGGACAAGGTTGCTTGCTTGTCGTTACACAAAATCCACACAAAAAACCGCTTATGGCCCCCATTTCCAAGACTCGTTCGTGCGTCACGTCAAAACATCATCGTTTTCCAGCCATGCATGAATCAAACAGTCACGTTTCCTCCCCCGCCCCTGCTATGCGCTTTTGCATGGCGTGAATGCCAAATGACTCCATATGTAGATTGATAAATCCTAGATTGCAACATACGATGGGCGTAATTATGTGCAAGATATTTTGAAGAATGTGTAAAGGACATTCAGACGGCCGAAAATGCCGCCGTCAAAGGTAAGCGACCACAAGATGCCGTGCCAGTGGGTATTTTCCAAAAGAGAAGGATGCCAGGGACAGCGTCCAGAATAAGATGTGATGCAATGCCAATCCATGGTCTATGATTCGTTGGCGCGGGACTTTTGAGTAAGAAAACCCCATCAGATGCAGAAGACGGAAGGCCGGGAGGCTGATACGAAGTGGCGCTGATGCGCAAGGTGGGTGTGGGTGTCCAGCGCGTAGAGTAATGGTTCGCCGGTATAGCACCGCAGTGAAATTGTTCCAGGACGCCAGTTTTGGGGTGGATATGAAAACAGGCTCGTAAGACCTGAATCCATATATCCGGTGAGAGTATGAGGCACTTCGCGGGTTACTGTAAGCGCCAGTTTGGCTTGGTCTTTCTAGTAAAAGTATGCCAAGACGAGAGGGAGTTGCATGTGTGTCCTGCGAGCGTTGAGGGTTCAGAGTGTCGCGGCATGCCGTCACACCTTCCGCTCATAGTATAACACATTTTGAGCTACTCTTACTTCTCCTGGAGCGGTCGCCACCGAATGAGTCTGCTGATGCGTAATTGCTTTTCTTGCCTCCGTGGCCATGGCTCTTTGGCTTGTGAGATTTGTAACCATCCGAACGTCCAGAGCTAGTGTGTCTTTGGCTGCGTAACTGACGAACAACATCGTAGAATGCTTTTTCAACATTCACGCAGTTCTTGGCCGAGGCTTCAACAAAAGCGCAACCAAGATCTCGAGCCATGGCACTGCCTTCTTGTGTTGATACCTCCCTTTCCGTAACACGGTCGCATTTGTTACCAACTAACATGACAGGCGCTGGCCCAAAGGAGCTCGAACCAGGGGCAGTGGCACTAAGTGGAGATCCGGGGTAGGTGGGCGAACTGGACAGTGATGATTCCTTCACTCGCTGTATCTGAGAATGAAATCTCTGGATCCGAGCAAAAGAGGCCCTCGAGGAGATACTATATACCAGCACAAAGCCTTCACCATCTCTGATCCATTGATCTCTGAGAGCAGTGTATTCTTCTTGGCCAGCGGTATCGAGCACTTCCAGCATGCACGATTGACCATCGATCTGGACTTGTTTGCGGTAGGAATCTTCAATTGTTGGGTCATACGTTTCCACGAAATGGTTGAGACACAACTATAGGCGGGGTTAGTTCGGTACCAGATACCGTGTTAATTTGTGGAGCGCACCTGGATTGTCAAAGCGGTTTTGCCTACGCCTCCGTCACCCAACACCACAAGCTTGTACAGAGTCATTTTCCCCGCCATGATGGCTATGTAATGTAGTAGTAAGTAGGGACTATCGTGAATTTCAGATAGCTGTATGTATAGTTGTAGAAATAGAAGCACTCGCAGCCAGCGGCGGAAGTGATCAGAATGGGCGAGGTAACAGAGAGGGGTGCACCCGGCACGCCACGTAGTAGGCTTCTCGAGTTGCTCGAAGTAAGACGTAAGGTATGTACGGAGACGGGATCGAGTGGTGAGAACAGGAAGAAGGCCAAGCAGGATGTGGAGGAAGCGACGAGACACTGGATAAGAAGATGGACAAGACCAGTGGCAGCAGTGATATGGAGGGAGAGAGAGGCAACAGCAGAGAAAAGGAAAAGGTTCTCTCGTGTGTCAAGTCCGGAGCCGCGGCGCAGGAGAGTCAGGGTCGGACGGACGGGTTTGTGAGTACGGGTTGTGAGAGTGGCTGAGTAGCAATGGTAGTGTTCAGGTGGTTGGACGGAGGTAGTACAGGTAGCTCTGCTATGACACTGAACAGTGGCGGCGCTTGTGTTTACGAAGAACAGCGAATGAGTAGTCGTAGTAGTCGTAATAGTAGTAGATTGGAAGAATTGACTGACGGAGGACCGAAGAGGAGAGCAGAGGGAGGAGGGGAGGGGGGATGAGACGAGACGAGAGGAAGAGGTTGAGAGAGGGAGGAAGAGGAGGAGTAGGAGCAGCGCGAGAGCGAAGCAAAAATGGATGTTTGTGCGGGACGAGCGGCGAGGGATGAAAGTGGTGGCAGAAGTGTGTGTGGTAAGTTAGTGGTAGTAGTGGTTGAGGTAGTGGTAGTGGTGGTGGTGGTGGTGGTGGTGGTGGTAGCAGTAGTAGTAGTGGTAGTGGTAGTGATAATAGTGGGAATTGTGGTAGTGGCCGACGGGTTGTGGTGGTGGTGGTGGTGATGTGAGGTACTGTCTAGTGGATAAGTGGCCGGTGCGTAGTGCGTGGTGCGCGGTGTGCGGTGCGTGGTGCGTGCAGACGGTGCCCAGGTGGTATGGGTGATGCGCGTGGTACTAAGCTGAGAATGGGATGAAGAGCTGCTGGGGGAGTACAGGGCCACAGGTGCCGCCATCACGGGCTGGAGGGCTGAAAGGCTGAGGGAGTTGAGGGGGGGGCTTGAAGGGGGATGAGGGGGCAAGCTCGGGCAGGGCAAGGGCAGGAGGACATGGCAAGGCAGGGCAGGGCAAGGCCGCCAACGCAGCCCGCGAGCGAGGGCTGTCCGGGCGCTGGGATGCTGCGTTAAGCTGGTCGCCAGGGCGGTGCACAAAGAAGTCTCCCCCGCCCGGAACAGAGATAATTAGTCGCAGTGACAACATCAACACATACAGGGCCAGCTCAAGCATGAGAAAAGGCACCAGCATAGAAAAGTAGTATTGCCATTACTGCCTTACTACCAGCGAGCAGACTAGGATGATTCGAGGCTCATGATAAAAAGGGGGGAAGTGATTGTTTACTGCGTGTGCTGTGTGGCTGTAAGAAACAATTGTGGGCCGTGACTGGCGGCGGTGGATGTGCGCAGGACCAGGGCGGATGTCCCTTGGTATACCTGGAGTGGTATGTAATATACCCAGGCCGGATTGGGATCTCCCTGCACCGTGTCCGAAACTCGCGTGTCTGGCTGTTCCACCCAGCACACGTGTGGCCCACGTGAAAGTGCCAGTGGAAGTGCAAAGCGAGCGCCCTCGGATCACCATAACCATCATCACCACCACCACCACCATCGTCAATCCTGGCTAGGAGCTATAGCAGCTAGATGCATGTCCGATAGATGCGGTGGCCAAGCCTATGCAATGTTGTGCCATATATTCATGTCCAGTAACAGATCAGCAGCAAATGGACATGAGAATGGCTTCTGTAGCACACTTTACACTGTAGACACTTCAGGACTTCAGGAGCAAGACACAGTGCATGGCTTCCCATCCCATCATCCATCCCCATCACTCCAATCCACATGTTCCGTGTCAGCAGCTCCAGTTCCCTCAAAGTCTAAAAGGCTCACCTAAGACCTTGCACTGTTGCAGAGAGGACGTGGGGGTGTAAACGGTCCAGTCTCCTTTTTGGGCCCTTGCCCCTTTTGGGTCTTAGGTCTATAGCAGCTTGGAATCAGTCCAATGTAAATAGCTCCATCAGCCGTCTAACACCATTCTTATCAAGTGTCCACTCTCCATTCACACAGGGATCCGTATCAGTTTGCTGGACCATAGCACCGGAGCGGCCTGGTACCCACTGTCGAAGCGCCAGACGCCAGAGCGTTAAAGTCATGAATCTTGAATTTGGAGTTTTGACAATGATGATGCTGATGATGATGGTGATACTGCCGATGACGATGACGATGACGATACGTTGTGGCGTCTTCTCGTCTCTTTTCTCCCTCGCCTCTCCGGTTCTCCTGCAGTCTCCACATCCCAAAAGCCCCGGCGGACTCTACTATGACTAGTCGTAATTCTCCCGGAACCTAATACGTGCCGTCCGCCATCTCCCAAGTCATTTGTTGATTACTGCGCTGTCTCAACGACGAACTCGCAGTCACTGGTCGATGCTCATACTTGCCGATGCTGAAACTTCATCCCAGATCCTGTGTCTTTAATCTTACCGCGTCGAAGCATCGAGAACGTAAGGGAATGAGACCGATATTGATGCATGCCTATCTACACCTTAGACGCGGCCCACTACCACTTCGGCCGGCCCTGCATGCATCTCACAGACTCCTACCATCACGCTGGCTCGGCCACTCATTTCCGAGATGCCATAATTCAAGGAGCACAACAGCATACAATTGTTCCCTGCAGCCTCGATACTTCTCTGGCTCGGGCGCAATGTGGAAAAACCGCGCATCCGCTGCCATCCAGGCTGTTCCTTTTGGCATTTTATCCATCAATTGCCGGTGACAATGCAATGTATGACACAGGTCATCCCTAGCGTCTAGGCCTTTAAATGCTCGGCAGAGCATTAGCAAGGTAGGATCGTGCTCCACGGAGCGAACGCGAATACAACCAACTTACTGGCCGTTGGATGGCGGGGGGAGCAGCAAAATGGTCCATCTGCAGCGTGGCAATGGCAACATGCATAATGCAGACATCGTCCAGGAAACATCTTCATATACTGATACAGATGCCTAATACGTACAGCATATGCCGCATTGGCATGGATGCCGCTGCCTGTTGGTCAACGGTTTGCCGTGCTTTCTACACATATCAACAAATTCCTCGAGCCACTCCCCCCGCGCCGCTAATTTCCCCCCCAAATCCTCCTATCACTGTGCCAGGATTCGTCCTCTTTTGTTATTTTCTGGGCGCACTCGAGATATTATCCCACGTGCTTTTGCTTCCATTGGACTAGACCAAATCGCTTGATAGTCCACGTCCGTCTCGGTGAGCACGATCGCGCCAGCACCCTGGCGGGACGGGTCGCTTTCACGGCCTCGCCCATGTGAGATTATAGGCCACCACTAGGTATTACATCGTACACACATACCTCCTTAATCGTACTAGTCGGATGGCTTGATGATTATCACGGCCCGTCAGTCATCATCCTCACCTTCACGGTCCACGTTATAGTGGATTATTTGGTCCGTATGAGACCGGCAAACAGCACACGACACGGAGGGTATACGTCCGGACCAGCAGAACTCCACTTCCTTTATCCACCTTGACGGGGCCCATTCAATGTCCCGACTTGTTGGTCACACTAACCGATCGTGCCTCTATTGTGACCGGCAACTTGGGAATGACTCTCGGGCAGACCTGGGACGTTCTGGACTTGCTTGGATGTTCTTTGCAATCGAGGACAAACATGTTGAATAGGCAGACATCGAGCCGAAAGCGACTTTGAAGGCGTTGTGACGGCGTAGACCTCTCTCTACATCTATCATGAATACGTCACTAGAAATGCTCTCTACCATATGGACCCGACCGGTGATATACTGCGTGCGGCGCGACTATTGCAACGTCAATACCGAGGTAGGTGCCCGCTGGACCATGGTACGTAGATGCATTGACCCAAGCAGGAGAGAATGTTGTGTAGGAAAATGCAGCATGCATCATGCATACCTACCTGCGCCCGTCCAAGACTTTGCAAGGCAATAGGCATGCTCAACACAATTCAACTGCTTTCCTATTACATGATCCACTATCAGGCAGGGCCCCAGTGTCGGGACCCATTACCCTACATGGCGACCGTTCAACTCGTACGTTCATAATGCCGTGTGGTCTGAACGGTGAGCACAGTCCCCTGTCGCTTCTTGCGTCCAGAGCGTTTCGAGACCACATGTGGCTGGAGGGAAGCGAAGACAGGACTGCCGGCATCAAGCAATCATCGTGTCGTACAAGTGTGGGCCTCCTTCGTTTATCACGTTGCATTTTTGCAATTGCTCGGGGTCACAGTAATCATGGAGCGCCCAAGTGGGTTATATCCCTGGACGTCAACGATGGTTCTGTCAGCAGCAGCAGCCGATATTAGGGACGTTCTATTCATAATCCTGGCCTTCTCATGCAGTGCACCTTCAACAGAGGCAGCCAACGCTCAGATGTCACACCACGAGCAAGGGACGCTCGCAGCACGGTTTGTACACGTGACCTTCCAGCGCCCGCCTTTGAAAATGATTCGGTCCTTTCTCATATTTGATTGCTGTGTAGAATGTTTAATTAAATATTTCCCAAGCACAACAATCACAAAAGTCCCATCACTTAGTTGCAAGCGGGTGTGACCCGCAACCGTGCGCCTCATGGCACATCTCAAAACCACATATAGGCCCTTGCAGACATTGGGGTTCTTCAAGACAGCAGAGGCTATGCTGCTGGCTCAAGCTTTGCTGCGTCTCATTTCTGATCAGGTCGTCGTCCAGAAAGCTCATCGAACGTGACATGTAATGCAGCAACCTGTAATTCACGACGTGGCAAGTTGCCTTAAGGTATGCCAAGCCTTCTCACTTCTTCACTAGGTATGCAACAATGCAGAAGTCAGTGCTTGACAGCTATAGCCAAGACTTGTTATGCATGGCGTTGTGCTACTGTTTGCAGCACCTCTGGCATCATGACTGCGCGGTAAGTCCATGATCCGCGATCCAAGATCCCAATGATTGAAGCAGAGTACACCGTTAACCAGTAGTACAAGAAGCGCAGGGCTGAAGCTACATGGTGGTGCGTCCAACCTACCTCAGTGAAAGATCGTCGACCTGGCCCCACCAGCAATGACAATGTCACTCCGGAGGTCTTGATCTTCCATAGTTGGGCAAAAACGTCTGTACGACATGAGCCGCATTTCTCCGGCCTGCATACACAACGACCGGAAGCCACGAAGCCGTCTTACACATATCAGAACCCGGACATCCTGTATACCTTTTGAGTGCCCGCGGAACCTTCCGTATTTGACGTCCCAAACCTCGGCACAATGACTGTGCTTTGCGCCGAGAGAGCATGCCATTCATCTCTCCGTCAAAACAGTTCTCACTACCAGCACCCCTTCAATAAACGTCGACAGCCTTGCGTTTTCAGCATCAGCTTTGCCACAGGATGCTCTTTACCCACGTGGCCGATCGTCAGTATCACCCACTTTGAACCCAAGCCATTCTATATTGAACACAAACAAGTCGTTTTGCGTAATGGTATCGATAAACCCTGATATCTTCAACTTCCGGATACAGAGCTGCCGTTACATCGACGTGGACTGCGCTAAATAGAAGAGATGATGTATGGTGCTGTATAGATGAATTCGTTGCGCCCGGAGATGCGCTGTCACTCTGTACTCCTTGGGCTGCTGGTATGAGCGTGCTCTCAAAAAGGGAATTGGACAACGGGAGTCGCCGCTTGCCATGCCACTCCGCGGGCCGCGACGCCAGACCGGAAGGTAGACATGGATGCTACAGTATGGATTATTATTGTAGAAACTGTGCTTGTGGAAGAAGTAGGACACTGCCGCCTGGGCGTTTGCAATACGCCTTTGCGTTAAGTCAAGTGTCCACAAGGGATTGAAGGCTTACACCGCTGCCCATATTGGTGGGCATTGACGCCAGGCCCAGCTAGAAGCACGGCAGGAAGCGAAAGTAGTTGCTGTTCTTGCATATATAATTGTGATTGTGACGCACTTGCATGTCATCACCTCGTTGCGCCACCAACTGATCCACGAACGCCCGCAAATGCAGTGACCAATTTGTGGCTGCGCTACCCAGCCACGTGGAGCGTGGAGCGCGTTATGCGTAACAATGGACTAATGGGGCTCTGAGCGCAGTAATGTATCAAGTGAAGTGAAGGGGGCGGATAATCGAGATCTAGAGAGGAGGTGGACGTTACATGGCGGTCGAAAGCGTGTTCTAGTACTTAGCCGTGTTGAGACAGACGTAATAATCATCCATAATGATGGGAATTGGAAGTCCTGTCCCGATGTCTAGGTCGCTCTCTGCTGTATCTCCGCCCGTGATCTCGACTTCGGCTGCGATGATGGCGGCGACGAGAGGACTTATGCCGCTCATGTTCGGTGGTCCTACATCTAGGGCTCCTATCTCTGTATTCACGATGCTTCGACGCCTTATATCGTCGTTCGTGGGAATCGTTGGGGTCGTCCTGTGTGGCATCAAGGCGAAAGCCGTCAAGACTCCGGCTTCTTGAACGGGAGCGTCGACTCTTGTGCTTTCTTTGACTTTTTGCAGTGGCCCTCAACTCTATATCCTCCTTTTCCCTTTGTTCTACCCAGCTCTGTCTATCCTTTTCCACTTGCTTGAGCTGCACCTGAGCTTTTTTCATGAAGGCCAGGGGGTCATTTGACACCACCCTTGATGCATCTCGTGATTTCCGGTTCGGATCAGGCCGACCCCATACGTTCTTGGACGACTCTTCTTCTGCTGATATGGCAACACCGACAGCACCAGAATCCCCCTGAGTGGCGTGTACTAATTTGGTGCCTGAAGCATACCAAGGTCCCTTGTCCAGCGCCTTGCCTCTCCCTTCAGCATCAGAAAACCGCATACTGTTGGCTTGCTCAGCCTCTTGTTTCTTCTTGCGCTTCTCTTCGGCAATCTCGGCTTCTTTCTGGGCTTTGCGAACCTCTTTCTCATCAACAGCAAACAGGTTCATGTGGCCCTTCGGATCATACAACTGGGCGTTTTTCATCATTTTATTCCTTGATGCGTCATCTGTAACCGTCTCTCTAGCTGCATCAGCGTCCTCTCGCTTGGCCCTCGCCAGCCTGATGTCTCGATCTGTGTCATCCTCGCCTGCAAGCTTCCTCTTCTTCCTCTCTCGTCCACTTGAGCCCTCTACTATCCGGTGTACATCTTGTGGCTTATCGTGATTTCTGAAGTCGGGGGCGGGTGGTGGTGTTGGCGTTCGCGGAGGGGTCACGCCACGTAGTATCGCAAGTCGTTTCGCAGCATCATGCTCTTGCATAATCCTATCAACCTCCTCCTCATGTGCTGCTGCGATCGCCTCATCGCGCTTAACGCGCTCGATGTTGTCTGTGTTATAGACATTCCAAGATTTCTTGCCGAGTAGATGGCTGTTGGCACCATCAGCGATAATGCTAGCAGGGAAGATATGAGGGAGGCATACAGAGGCATATTGTGCGGACTTGCACTTGCATTCACTTCCAGATTCGTATAGATGATGCTCGGGCGCGAAGTTCCATTGTGCTCTTACAAAGCTATCTGCAGCGAGTAGTCACGAACAGTTGAAGACCCGGGAAGTGGGTCCGCATCCTTGTCCTAGCGCCCGGCGCGTCAAATCCCGTCCAACGCGACGCGTAGCAGCTATACATCCCCGCCAAACTGTCGGCCCTACACCCAAGGTTCAACAAACCATTATTCCGCCTTATTCTTACCCTTACGCGTGGACTCCTGTAATCATGTCAGTGGGTCACCCAGATACGAAGACGAGGAGCAACCAGCTCCGACAAGAATTGAAAGACTGGGAAAAGCACTTTGCAGCAGCCAATGCAGGCCGGAAAGCTAGCAGAGATGATATCAAAGGCTGCCCTGACATTGGTACATATATTCTATCCCCGGCTCTATCGAACCTACTGACAGATCGAATCATAGCGGCGAAATACAAAGAGTATAACAAACTCAGAGACATCCTCTCTGGCAAGCCTGTTCTGCCACAATCGCCTGTAGCTCCGAACAAACGCAAGTCAGTCGACAACAGCGTTGTAACCCCATCGAAACGCCGTGCTATACCCGCGACCCCATCGAGAGACCGTAGATTCAATGTTGGGACTCCATCGAAAGTCACTAAACTCAATCTCACCGGCACGCCGTCAATGAAGCTGGCCACACCGTCGATCTCGCGGGTCATAATCGGGCCAACTCCACAGAGGAATGGAGTTGCGATCGGACTATTTGACATGCTGACATCGGCATCACCCCCGAAGGCTGAACGTACCGTGTTTGAAGAACTTCAGGTCAATGTGCCTCAGACCCCGAGCCGAAAGCAACATACCTTCCAAGATGAGCCGTGTTCGATTGGGAGATATAAAGGCAGTAGGACCCCCATGTCTGACGGTAAAAAGTTCTTTTTCGACAAGTACATCGCAACGCCGATGAAAAGGAAGAGAGAGGAAGATATTGAAGAGACGTCTGAGCATCACTCGACTCCCACATTCTTGCGCCGCAACACCTCTTTCAACGCAATACCAGAAGAGGAAGAGGATACATCTCCGCGAAATGCGCCCTGGAAGAAGACTGGACTGGTCAGGAGTCTCAGCAGTATGATTAGAGGACTAAAAGAACGCAAAGAAGAGGATAGAAGGCAAGAGCACCAAAGAGAGGAGGACCGACTTGACCAAGAGCTGGAGCTGTTAAGAGAGATGGAAGCCGAGGAGGCTGGTGTCGAGTATAGACCCTTGAAGAAGCCAAAGGTCCTTGTCCAAGACAGTCAGGCTACCGAGATGCCCCTGGGACCGGATCAACCTACTGATTCGGAGGAAGACGATAATTTGGAGCGGCAACCCCTCAGGATATGGAAGAAGAAAGGCCAAAAGAGACAAACGAGACGAGTCAACAGTAAGTGTAGTGCTCAATCGAGTGAGATTTTTTGACTAACTCATTCAGTGCGGCCAAATCGTCTGAAGCCGTCTGCGGCCCCTGAAATCGATCAAGAATCCTCGGACGACGAAGCAGCTGTTCCCGACACCCAACCCGGTGGGGGACTGCCTGATCCCCCCATTGATCATGTAACACCGGAAGATGGAACCAAGGTCACAGAAGTGAAGGAAAATGCAGGAAAGAAGGTACTTCGAAAGGTAACAGAACATGTCCACGCAAATTATCGGCGACTCAAGATCAAGAGTAAAAATACCAAAGGGAAGGGGAAAGGTAGCTTCGGTCGTGGTAGACGATAGCTACTGTTCTCACGATAAACATGTCTATCTGATATCCAAACCTATTTGCTTTAGGGACCAACAGACTGTACCCATTCTAGTAAACTAATAGGCTGTTCTCCCTCGATCCATGGATCGCGGGTGTATAAGTGAAGCACTAAGCCAAGAATCGCGCTACGTCATTGGCGGAGAACTTTTAGTGTCCGCTGCTCTGCCTATAATTAGTGTAAACGGGACCGAGAGTGTGAGCACGAGCACTATGTTGAAGCCTACTCTGGGGCTGCTTCAGTGAAAACCCTCCAGAGCGCGTAGCGGTAGTTGACGGATTAAAGTTTGTACTGGGCTCATGAACATGCCCTGTGCTGCCTAGAGCTAGCTCTATCTATTGGTATCTTCACAGCCGTCAGCCACCGAGTCGGTCCGCTGGCCTAGAGAGCTGTCACGGGTGATCCGCGAGCTCTGAGAACGACACGCTCTAGCTTCTAATTTGTCTCAACCCACCGACATCAACAGATGACCATGTGATAACGCACTGTTCTCTTTGTCGCTGTTGCAGCTGTTCTTGGTCTTGGACTGTATCTTTGTGACTTTGTACTGCCTCCGACACCTTGCAAAATAGCAGAGTACCGATGCGTCACCCTCTCTCTGATCGAATCCACCCTACACACGATTTCCACCGACTCCATCGATATATATATACAAGATGTCCTCCGAAGATGGGCTCCGAGCCCAAACAGGTCGCAAGCTCACAAAAAGACGGAAGGATTTCCGCCGGGTGTCTTTGGACATTCCCGAAAAATTCAAGGATGGCGCAGATATAGAAGAGGATGCCAGTGCTGCTCCAAAGGGCCAAGAGACTTGGACCATGAACCAATCCTTGTTTTCTATGATCGCGAAGACCGGTTCACAAGCGGATCTACACACACCCCTGGAGGAAGTCGCCTCGAGTGACAGCGATGGGGAGCATGAAGGTCGACTGAAAAGTAGAAAGAGAGGAGATGCTGCACAATATATGTCGCCACCACGACATACTTCTGCCAGCTTTGCAAACAGACATAGAAGGAAGATCTCAGACAGTAAGCTGTTGAAATCGCTACCAAGACTGAGGACTAGGAGGGAAGCACGAGATGCATCGAACGACCAAGATATGTCCACTTCCCAGATCCTTCCGCCCAAACCAGCACAAGTCACAGCATCGCGGCCGTCGAGAGAGTCAGCACTACTAGATACACGTCCGACACATATACATGATAGCGACGAAGCGGGTCCCAGCAGGCCAACAGCGAGCAGGCGGGGTCGCCATGAGAGCCTCAGTGAGACATCAGAGAGTAGCCCGCCGCCAACCTTAGCCCAGAGGCTACAAGATATTTTTGAGTTTGAGGAGCTAGAAGAGGTCATCTCTCGTACGTATTATCAACATGTCAACGCCTGCAAAAACTGATAACAATAGAATACCCATGCTGGTTAATCCAAAGCGTTCTCCTCCAAGGATACCTTTACATCACGCAGAAGCATATATGTTTCTACGCATACCTCAACCGCAAAGATCCTGGAAAATCCGGTTATATTGCGAAACTTGGACGCTCCAAGTATAACAGATATTGGTTTGTGTTAAAAGGGGATGTATTGGCATACTACAATAATACCTCAGACCTCTACTTTCCGCGAAACAGGATCAACCTCAGCCACGCTATATCCGCTTCGATCATTGATCAGAAGGACAAGGACAAAGAGGCTACAAGCTTTGTCGTTGAAACAGAGGGTCGCAACTACACATTCAAGGCCGATAGTGCAACCAGCGCTTTGGACTGGGTCCGCGCAATACAGAAAGTTATATTCCGAACACGCAATGATGGGGGCAGTGTCAAGATATCGATTCCTTTGCAGAACGTTTGGGACATAGAAGAAAACCCTTTGATGGATTTTGCCGATTCTATCAAAATCAGGGTCATCGACAACGGCGAAACTTACGCCATGGACGAAGTAAACCAGTTCGTCAGATATCTGCGTAAAACTTTGCTAATATTTTGTAGTACTTCTTCTCATTTTCAGGCTCCGCCGAAGATGTCTTGAACATCTTGCGCATCCTGATCCCGGATAATGACCCGTCTGTGGACGGTAGGAGCAGCACTTGTAGTCCTCGTGTCAGCTCCAGTGTTCGTCCGAAGCATCTTGACGTCAAAACAGATACTGAACGGTCTGTGAGTCCAGGCGATGCATCACCATTACGGGAAAATGTCAAAGCAACTCTGTCACCTCGCCCGCCTGTGAACCTAAAAGGATCTAGCCCAAGAATTAGTATGGAGTCGAGCCGATCGAGTCTGGACATGAGAAGACGTAGCACAGACATTACCAGAACTTTTCAGAAGACCAATTCTGACAGAGGACGAACAAGCTTCACGATGAACAGAAGCTCAAGCTATGGTGGTGATGGCGTTCGACGTGGAGACAAGTCACCGTTATCACCAAAAATCAACGAATCATCTGCCTCCGCGAGCACTTCTCTTGACCAGGTTGAAACAGAGTCATCTGCAGCGATTCAGTCCCTGGACGACACGAACGCATCTGCTAGTCAGATTTTGAATCGCACGGATGTCTTCCACCGTCCAACAATCCAAAATTCCTCTGGTCAACTGGACACCGAGAAAGACAGGATGTGTCAATCTCAAGAAACGGCACGATCTGTCCGTGACAATAAGCGATCCCCTCTTCCAACAGGTGAAATGAGAAAAGTATATAAGCAACGTGCCACCGAGAGATTAGTGGGCGATGACGATGATAGTGATCAACAGAACTCTAAGATGAGAGACTCTGATACTTCTGCGATACAAAACATTGTACAAGCTGGATCTTACCCCCTGCAGAAGGCATCCGGCCTTCTTGGCAATCTCAAAAGCCGTTCCAAGCGTATGAGCAAGGTGCTTTCAACAGAAACCATGGGCTATTACGAGAAAGTAGCCGGCATGTGGGCGGGTGGACGGAAGCACTATCATACTGCAGAAGGACTTTCACCAGACGACCAGATCCGAAGTGCCCAGGAAGATGCAGATGCCGTGGTTGATGCAGAGCGCTTCCGAGAACATTTTGCACTACCCCCAACTGAGGAACTTCAATCAACGTTTTTCGGCTCCTTGCAACGAGTGATACCGATGTATGGCAAGATTTACATCAGTGATCGCCATTTCTGCTTTCGTAGTATGCTGCCAACAACGAGAACGAAGCTGATTCTTCCGCTAAAAGACATCGAAACCGTCGAGAAAGAGAAAGGTTTCCGGCTCAGTTACTATGGTTTAGTCATAGTAATTCGAGGATTTGAAGAGGTCTTCTTCGAGTTTGCGAAAGCCGAATTACGAGATGAGTGCACTGTTACGACCTTGAGGCAATTGGAAAATGTTCGCTTCATGACGAATTCGCAGTCGCTTCACCAGGAAGACGTCACGATTGAAGAGCAGGCTAAAGCAGAGCATGATCTTTTACAGGAAGCTCGAGCTGAACCGATTCCACAATCCGCTCCAATTGATGCTCCTGACACAGGTATGTTGAATCCACTTTTATGCCACGTCCAATGAACTAACCAGAAACCTACTCTAGATCCCGAAAAGATGCCTCTTATCTTTGACGACCTCGGTGGGTCTTACGTTGACTTCAAGCCTTCAGAATCTCTCAAAATCACTTGCCTGACTATTGGCTCCCGGGGAGATGTCCAGCCTTATATCGCCTTTTGCAAAGGACTTCTTGCTGAAGGACACAAACCTAAAATTGTCACCCATGCAGAGTTCGAGCATGCTGTACGCGAGCAAGGCATCGACTTTGCCCCAGTCGCGGGTGACCCGGCGGAGCTCATGCGAATCTGCATCGAGAATGGCATGTTTACTTACTCATTCATCCGAGAAGCCTCCGAAAAGTTTCGCGGCTGGATCGATGGCCTACTTGCGACAGCTTGGGAAGCCTGCCAGGGATCTGATATTCTAATTGAGAGCCCCAGTGCTATGGCTGGAATACACATAGCAGAGGCCTTACGCATTCCTTACTTCCGCGCTTTTGGCATGACGTGGACACGGACCCGCGCATATCCTCATGCATTCTTCGTACCAGGTCGCAGAATGGGCGGTAACTGGAACAGCTGGTCCTACTCTGTATTCGATAAGTTCTTTTGGGGCGGTATTTCAGGCCAAGTGAATCACTGGAGGAGGAACACCCTCAAGCTTCCCAAGACTGGCTTAGGCAAGATGAAACCCGACAGACGACCTTTCATGTACTTTGTTTCGCCGTCGGTCATGCCGCCACCGCTGGACTGGCCCGACTGGATTCGTGTTACGGGATACTGGTTTCTCGATACGAACAACGACTATGTGCCACCACAAGATCTTGTTGACTTTCTAGCGAAAGCTCGTAAAGATAAAAAGAAGATTGTGTACATCGGTTTTGGCTCAATAGTGGTCGACGATCCTGCGGCTATGACCAAGACGGTCGTCGATGCAGTTCTCAAAGCAGATGTGCGCTGTGTTCTATCCAAGGGCTGGTCAGACCGACTCGACAAGAAGGATGCGGCCAAGCCCGAATTGCCCCTCCCCTCTGATATCTTCCAAATAAAGGAAGCACCCCACGACTGGTTATTCAAACAGGTTGATGCAGCAGTACATCACGGCGGCAGCGGTACTACAGGTGCAAGTCTGCGCGCAGGGATCCCTACCGTCATCAAACCTTTCTTCGGTGACCAGTTCTTCTATGGTATGCGCGTTGAGAATCTCAATGTTGGCGTATGTATCGAAAAAATCAATACAACCGTACTCGGGCGAGCAATATGGACGGCGACGAATGACCAGCGGATGATAGACAAGGCAGCTTTGCTAGGGGAGAAGATTCGAAAAGTATATCATGCCGCAGTCTTCACTCACCTCAATTGTATGCTCATACTGACTCTTCACAGGAAAGTGGCGTTCAAACTGCGATTCAGACGATGTATCGTGAGCTCGAACGAGCACGCACCTTCATTCCAAAGGACGAATCCCCCGATGTTGGCTATGCCTCTGCACACCCCGACCCGACCGAAGATAATGAAGATTGGACTCTTGTTGATGACGAAGATGCATGTCTGGATACTGAGACCGCTGCCGCGACAGGGTATCTCAAGTATTCAGAGCAGGCGCTTGCACGTGCAGGTGGAAGCAGCGCGATGGCACTGGGAAGCATGGTGCTCAGAGGTGCCGGTGTTAGTGGTAAGCGATGATTATCAGTGCGAGTATTGATTGACTTATTACGTTGTCTGCGAGTAAAGAGGTGGATTTAATAAATCCATGTGAGTCTCTGAGCCCGCTTTGGGGGACTCAAGGCTTGACTAGAGTCAGTGGCTCTAGCGCGAACTGCAGCATTTCATCCACCTGGTGGTGGCTATTCAATCGCCATTTTGGAATGGAGATACATCAGCGGGCGTTCTATGTGTTTTGCGCCAGATGATCACCGTTTTTCTCATATATCAGACTGCCATTTCGCACGACATCTAGATTTCTCTATAATAATGATCCAGTCTTGTTCGCAAAAGGAATTCTCCGCGAGGTAGATAGTGTTTGGATGAGTCTCATGTCATATAATAGATAGAGTATGATCAAGATGGCTGAGAGTATGCATCAACCTTGAAGTCTTAACCTGCTCCCCAATGATACGAGCACACGACCTCTTGCCCAATTTGGCGATCAGCTGTTCCTGCCCCAGGCTGCATGCCTGCCTTGTTGCCTGCGCTTGACTACTCAGTGGATATTGGGTTGTTCACGATGCAATGATACCTCGTACAGCACCGGTAGTAAATAAGGTAGTTCAGCCGATACTCGATATATCACAACCGCCTCTCCACATTCGCGATAGCAGGGCAGGACAGTTCTCTCACGCGCCGCTAATACTGCAGCAACGAGAACGCATCAGCTAAAATAGCGGGTACGTCAGATCTCCTGCCCGAGGACGCAAGGAAATCCCGGCTTGTCTCTTCGCGACGGGACCGGGTTCATTCTCGCCCACGTCAAGCCTTTTCACCTAAACATTGCGCCTTGCACTGAAGAGCCAATCCTTCAATTAACCTCTCAGTCTCTCATTCATCGCCTGGATCGCCTTGCGATGCCCCCCAAAGCTGCTGGCCAGGGCCGCGGCGAGTCTTCCAAAGCCCCACAGAGGTATCCTGGCAGCACTTCATCGCCGGCATCGCAGCCACAAGGAGGCCAAAGCGGTCAAGCTGAGCAAGGAGATTCTTCCGCCGCAGCGAAGAAGAGAAAGCACAGAGCTGGAAAGAAGCATCGTCGACACCGTCGACAGTCGTTTGCACCGACTGAAGCTTCTGACATCACCACCGAGCGACCTGATCCTCGACATTTGACGGTCGATTCAGCAGCTCGGAACAGCTTTTACAGGATTGATGCGGGCAAGAGAAGTACTGACAGCATTGCTAGCGAGGCGCTGCTAGATCATAGGTCAGTTCCATGCGTCCTGCAGATATGACTTGTACACTGCTGACGTTGATCAACTAGGGATTCTGGGCCACTCCAAGCTAGACGCCAAAGCATCCACCAAAGCCAATATGCCCCTCCCCGTAGTAGCTTTATGGGAGACCACGAGTCGCCAGTCAGGAGTATGACCAACAGTACTGTTATGCCAGGCTCCTCCGGTCTATCGCATCCTATAAGGCCGTACGAGAACGGCGAGGAAGACTATGAAGAGACCTCAGATCGAACACCTTTAATTGCAACAACAAAGCCAAAGCAGGCTACAAGTGGTGTGGGTTATGGCGGGCTTACACCGTCAACCAACCGCCAGCGATCCAAGCCACGATCTGTCAGTTCAAATGCTTCAAGAAAGAGTCGGCCATTACTAGAGCATGCCCAGACCGGTATGAGCTCAAGCAATCTATTCGACGTCAACAATCCTCCCTCGGTACCGGGAAGCCCCGTGCTGGGTGCGGGAATTGGCTACGATGATGCTATGCTCACAGGGGATGTTATCACAAGTCATTCTCCTCAGAACACACGCAATGCCCGCTCTGCAACGTCGCGCGACGCGCTTATCGATATCAATGACGGTGCTCCGTTCATGGACTCTACACCTCCCTCGCCAGATCGTTTCGGAAGAGAGCGCAGACATACGATCGCGCATCCCGCGGAGGAAGATGTGTGCTTTCCGGCTGAGGGAATGTCGGCAATCGGAGAGGAAGATTACATGCAGATGCAACAGCAGAATGGTCAAGAATATCAACACCGGCGAAGGAGGCGCCGACAATGGCCTGATCTTGAAACTTTGGACCACTGGAGCCGGGAGGAGAAAGAGGAGCGAACAATGGAAGGAATTCGCATCAGGAAAGTGAGCGAGCCTCTTATGGTTGGTGGACGCCTGCGTCCCACAAAGAATGCAGCATGGCACCGACAGGACGATGACGCACCGTATCGGTTCACGTACTTCAATGAGGAGTTTCAAAACACAATACATAGTCAGACAATAGGGGAGCTTCTTCAACCCGGCCAGACCTTTCGGGACCTCTTTATTCCTGATCCACCTTTACTATCTGACGAGAGTTCCGATGAGGAAGACGAAGATGATCTGGCGAGCAGAGTTGCAGGCTCCGTAGCAGGGACGACAACAAGGCAGTCATACCGCCCGGGCGATACTGGGAGTAAGATACCATCTGGAGAGCAAACTGGGAGAAATACGCCTGTGCCATCTTCAGCTCAGGATCATCCGTACCAGAAGACCAGTAAAGAGCCTCGTTATGGATCACGACCAGTATTTTGGCTGGATGTCATGTCACCTACCGACGCAGAAATGAAAGTCATTTCGAAGGCATTCGGCATCCATCCCCTGACATCGGAGGACATTATGATGCAAGAAGCTCGCGAGAAAGTTGAACTGTTTCGGCATTATTACTTCGTAAACTATCGGACATTCGAGCAAGACCCCAACAGTGAGGACTATCTAGATCCAGTAAACATGTTTGTTGTGGTGTTCAGAGAAGGCGTCATCAGCGTACGTCCTCCTTGCCTTCTTTACTTCTTTACAGATGTGCTTACATGAACAGTTCCACTTCTCCATGACACCACATCCAGCCAACGTTCGACGACGCATCCGTCAACTATCCGACTACTTGATCCTATCTTCCGATTGGATCTCGTATGCAATAATTGACGACATCACAGACGTATATGCACCTTTGATTCAGAGGATTGAGGAGGAGGTAGATGAGATCGACGACGAAATTCTCAGGCTGCATATGACAGACTCTGAGCCTGAGAAGAAGGCTGGAAAGAACAAGAACGATGAGAAAATGTCTGAAAGTGGTGAATCAATTAAAGAAAATGTCCATGGTGATATGCTTCTTCGTGTTGGGGAGTGTAGAAAAAAGGTTATGGGCCTATATCGTCTCCTGGGTAACAAAGCCGATGTTATCAAAGGCTTTGCGAAGCGTTGTAATGAGCAGTGGGATGTTGCGCCTCGCAGCGAAATTGGTCTCTACCTTGGCGATATTCAAGATCATATCGTTACCATGACCGGGAACTTGACCCATTACGAAAGGTGTGTCTTTATAACTTGGGTTGGGTTGAACTCTCTCGCTGACTTGCCGTAGTCTACTCTCCCGTGCTCATGGTAACTACCTCGCCCAGATCAACATCCGTATGAATGAAAGGCAAGAACAGACTGCTGATGTACTTGGTAAGCTCACTGTGCTGGGAACCATTGTCCTTCCGATGAACATCATTACGGGTATGTGGGGCATGAACGTGCTCGTGCCAGGCCAGGATGTAGATAGCCTTTGGTGGTTTTGGGGTATCACGGCTGGACTCCTCGCGTTTGGTCTAAGTAGTTTCTTCATTGCGAAGAAGGTCTACGGTATTGTATAAGTCGATGTACTTTCATCAATGTGTAAATTTGGAACAGCTGTCAGATGGCTGGCTGGAAACGGGTGGGGATGGGTGGGAACTGGTTATTAATCACAGAGATTGGCTAAAGGGCATTGGATACAACGGACCGGAGCCATAGTGTACAAACAGAGTCGTGGATAGCACCAAATACCACGAATAATACAATACATGTAATCGCGAAAATACGACAGTCTTCACCCTAATCTTATCCTAGATTTCAAACCCCCTTATAGCAGCAGATTCATGCCCCGAAGCCTCATACTCCCGCCACCTTATGTATGTGATAACTATTTTTGGTATGATATGGGCATGGTATGGGTAAGGCTCGTGATGTTCTTGGTCGTATATATGTATCCATGCTCGCCCGGAGGTGGCAGTTATAACAAGTCTGACCTCTACGGTTCAACGATGGCTTGAAGGGCAGATGTTGACGTGTGGTCATATAGAGTAATTGATTGACTCAATAGTTGGAAATGCTACGCTACTCTGAGTAGTGAGGAGTCTCGACGCGAGCTTAATATAATGTGTCTGAAGAATCTGGGCTAAGTGCACTATAGGCACTAGAGTAAAGTCTTAGCAAGAACGAGTTTGTGTTCATACTATATACTCTGTTCTATTCCATGTATGCTTCGGTTCTGCATGTAAGGCTACAGGGTCATCGACACTGCTGTCCTCCATTTACATATAGATTTCTAGCAATGACAACCTTACCCCGATGAGTTTGCTCCAGTGCAATTAGGCGCTCACGACCTTCAAGAACCCATAGAACTCAGGCCTGTACCCAGCGTGCGGCGGAAAGTCTGGGTCTGCGGGAACCCCTGACAATTTTGCACCGTAATACCCCTCCGGAGAAGTCCCGTCACCAGGAGCCGGGCGGAAGTAGAAGGCCCATGTCGTGAGGCCCAGGGCCCCAAGATAGGTATCTGGTTGTCTGACGCCATCGATCTCATGTGCATACAGCTGCGGCTTGTAGCCCTGGTCCTCCCACAAGAAGGCATTGCCAGCGTCGTGTGAGACGTTGATGTCTACGTTGCGCGGGTACACGGCAAGTTGGGCATTGCGCTGGCATTGGTATACTTGCTTTGCAAGATCGATCTGTCGGCTGGCCTCGATGACGAGGGTGGAGACGTTGTGAGACACACCGGGGCTTGTGAAGTAGGGAATGGTCTTGTCGTATGCGAAGAGGTTGTCGGCGATGCCTTTATCGGTTGAGTCGGTCTTGATGTAGAAGAGATTGTTGCTTGGTCCCTTAGGGTAGGCAGAGCAGGATTCTGCGTCGCGAGGTATGACAGTAACGTCAGGGACTGCGAGCCCGATGCCAAATAACAGCGGAAGAAGTCGTAGGGTGGCTCGTTTCATACTGCTGGTTTGTGAGAGTTTCTTATTTTTTGAATGAGGACGATGGTAATTGCTCCCTACAGTTACATTGAAGCTTGAGCGGCGACGACGACTATTTGTATCTTCGACATGTATCGTTGAGGCTGACTACAATGGTCACGCTCCGCAATTTATACCTACCGTTGCAAGGGATACCCAAGAAGCGGTAGAGCATAGATTATATTGCTATGACTAGCAATAGATTAGGATATACGTCTAAACGATATTACCCTCCACGTGGCCCGTGAATGGAAGGATCCATAGACTCCTTCGAGTTCGATGTCCTATCTTTTCAATGATGGCAATACACCGCACTGCCGTGTACTCCCTTCAATTGGCTCGCTTGGCCGTCCTCAGGACCAGGGAGACAAACGTAGTGCAATACCAAGCAGGCAGCAAGAAGGATCTGTCGAGGCTTATTATTCCATTGATGGATGCCTGATTTCTCCCCACTCAGCGCGAGATTGGTGGGTTCTGATTACACTATTGATACGCAACTGAGTGCGAGGCACGATCCGGAATGCTGCCTCTGCCTACTATACACATGGTATCTAGATCTTGGATCACAGAATATCCGCAGGTCAAACCTTCTTCGAAACCTCGGATGCTATCAATGGTGGCTCCTCCGTCTTTTCAGACGCAACCTGCCGTTGAAGCAGATCCTTGAGAGCGCCCTGACAGTCTAATCGGTCCATAAAGACCTCGACAATGCGAAGACCAGAGCCTTCTTGAACCTTTGGGCTCTGTAAGACAGTGGTGAGATCCTCCCATGTTCTTGCGGCAAGGTAATTTTCGGATGCATGCTGTTCCCCAGCGCCGAATAAGGTCATTGCTGCTCTATGGTTCCAGGGAAATATGTCATTATAGCCCTGTGTACGACCATGTATCACACGTTCGATAGTATAGCCGTCGTTGTTGATGAGAATTATAATGACATCCAGCTTCTCTTTAATGATTGTACTTAGTTCTTGCACAGTCATTTGAAGACTTCCATCTCCCATAAACAGCACGGTGCGCTTTCCCTGTGCAGTGTCACGCTGCGCAAGTGCTGCTCCAAGAGTTGCAGGAAGCATGTATCCAATCGACAGCCATGTGATTGCAGAGAAGAAGCGTGTGCCGGGAGGCAGGACTAAAGCTCGGCCACCGTGAGAGGCCGTTCCGGTCTCAGTAAGGACGATGTCTCCATCTCTGAAAAGGGGGTTGATGAAACGATAGAAATAGTCTTGGGTTATAGGCCCAGTGAGAGAAGATTTGTCGAGTGTCGTATCTGGCTTAGGAGGTCCTTGAATGCTTTGCAATTTGGACGGGACAAGCTGCTGCAAGAGCTGGGACAGAATGCGCTTACCGGAAACGTCACGATATGTCTCTGTCCCAACGTGGATGGTCATATCCTGAAAAAGAACTGCTGACGTCTGATTCGGAATGCACGTAAAACCATTGGTGTTAGTGTCGCTATAATGAGGTCCAAAGACGAGGATTAAGTCTGCAGACTCGAAGTAGGCCTTCGCACCATCAAGTCCATACTTTCCAGTGTACATCCCATGAACACTAGGCAGCGACTCGTCCACCAGTCCTTTTCCATATGTTGTTGTCCATGTTGGCCAGCTAGAAGTTTTCACTAGCTCGTCCACTTCACCGAGAACACCCATAGGTCTGCTCTCCCCGTCTATCAAGATCAAGGGGCGTTTTGCGGAGTAGATCCGGTCCAGGATAGACTGTAAGATCTGAGGTTCTGACGGAGCCTTCAGTGCCTCTGGTGATATGATTTTCTGTGCCAATCTTGTTGAAGACACTTCAACGTCCACCATATCATCCGGGATTTCGAGATAGACCGGCCTCGAGTGCAACATGGCCTGCCCGATAATCCAGTCTATCTGTTCTGGTGCCGTCCTTGAATCTCGCAGCTCCGTTTGTGCAGCTGTAACATGCTTGTGCATTTCTGCAAACCGTCGGTACTCGCCATCTGCAAATGTGTGATGCATCTTCACCCTCTCATCTTGCAATTTCCGCGATGGTGTCCCACAAATGTGTACCACAGCTGCCCGCTCGGCATACGCCCCAGCTACCCCATTGATAGCAGACAACTCGCCCACTCCGAAGGTCGTGATCAAGGCCGAGAGGCCAGCGATCCGTGCATATCCATCGGCAGCATACGCAGCATTCAGCTCGTTGCAGTTTCCGACCCAATGCAGCTTATTTGGTTCTACGTAATCGAGGAGTCGAAGGTTGTAATCCCCAGGTACACCAAAGACGGAATGGACTTCGAGCTGATGTAATCGCGTAAACAGATAGTCAGCGAGTTTGATGGTCGGTGAGTCTGGCATAGTGACGAGCTTCAGGGGTAAAGTACGATAGTCAAATTGAAGATGTACTGAATCCGACATCTGCACTTTGATATACCAAGGTTTCCCGGCTTCCGTCGGTTCATCATCCGACGTTGATCAGGTGCGTAACTCATACTGCGCAAGACATGATATAAAGTACTCATGTCTACACTTCACTGGGCAACGCGCTGCTTCCGGGCAGTACGCCGAAAATGTGCCTGCTCCGAAAGCGCTCCCTAGATGTAACGTTATGAGGCCTTAGTCCTGAGGCCAGAAGACCCGCTACCACGTCACTGGTCACTATCAGATCCTGTCTTGCATGCATGCAGGCATGTAAGAGGGCATGGGCTGACACAAAGCAGCGTAATGTGTTTCCTTTGTGCTCCTTTGTAACCACCAACAGCTCTTCCTATACCTTCGTTCGCGCAGCCAAGTTGGCTCGACTTCAAGGCTCCTTCACCCGGCCCCTCCGAAACCTGTCGAAACACCATCTAAGCTCTGCCGTTTACCGACTCGCCGGCCGTATACCCTCAATCTTGGGCGTGGAGATCCCAAAGGCTGGCGCGCGCCGGCAAGCGCATGAGATGTCTACGCCGGAGAATAAGTCCTATCTTTCGAGTGGGGTGGCCACCTTGTCGCCCTGGGGATCTCGAAGCGGCACACCGATTCTTGGTCAGACAAAGGAGGATTTGGAGGGAGATTCGAATCTTGGTAAACAAAGAGGTGGTGACCATACTGTGAGCAGTAGACATAGACTGAGCCTACAGAGCTATCCTAGGGATACTCCACCTCTCAACGTGCAGTGGTACCATGCCGTTGATGTACCAAAGAGGAAACCTCGATTTGGTTCAGATGCAAGCGATGCGCCTGAGAAGCTACCACTGCCAAAGAAATGGGTTCCATTCTCTAAGGGAGATTCCCGTTCCATAGAGGCTCGGTATCAGAAACTGGCAGAGGAAGCCGAGACCCTCGAAAGAGAGCGCCTTGCCGGTCATACAAGCCCTTGGCAGAACAGCGTATCTGAAAGTACAGTACCAGTCAACGAAGATTACCTATTCGATGTTAACATTGACAAACGAGAGCTCGCCCCTGCTTATTGGCTTGGTCCGGTGTACTCCGTCGTCAGAGGTTCGTGGTTCTATCAAGAAGGGACTCGTCAGAGACCATGTGACGAAAATCTGGCAACACAGCTTGAAGAAGGCTATCTCAAACTAAGGCCTTGGCGATTCACTCCAGAACGGGAGACTCGACCTCTTCCACAACCACGTTCAAGACCGACGTCCTTGCGAGCAGACGAAGATACGGGTCGAGCATTAAGCCAGCTAAATAGGCACAATTTAACACCAAAGTCGTCCAACGAAACACTCAAACCACAGCCCACACCTCCAAGCCCAGATCGACGAGGGGTCGACAAAGAACTAGGAGCCTCTGACCCGTCACCGATGAAGGCACATAGGCTTTTCGGCGCCTATATGAACTCAGTTGTGACGTACCAAGACGCAAATACTGCTTGGTTGCTAAGCGACACCTTTCTGTCTCAAGTCAGCAGTACCGTCTATCAAAGATTTGCTGGTGGCGGTCATTTCGCCGGTATAAAGCTGACTCGCGGGTTCGTGGAGAAAGTGCAGGACACGAAGACCAAAAAACCCAGTGGAACTAATGCATCTCCGTCAGATAGTGAGGTAAGCGACGCCGAGGACGCCAATATGTCGAAAGACCACCAGGATAGCGAAGACGATACGCAGCCGACGTCGCCTTCAGAGATGCGCCGTAAGACTCTTGAACGTCAGCTTTCTTCTCTGGCAAATCAAGCAGATCCCGCTCAACAAGAGGAAGAAGTACGACGAAGAGAAGAAAAAGAGATAAGAGACGATTACAAGGATGAGGGAGATGATCAGGATCGACCAATTGAGCACTTGTTGCTGTAAGTTCGCTATTGACTTTACGCTGCAGTGTCACTAATCTATGCAGTATCACGCATGGCATAGGCCAACGTCTGGGCCTCCGATTAGAGAGTGTGAATTTCGTGCATGATGTCAATACACTACGGAAAACCATGAAAGCTGTATATGCAAATTCGCCTGATTTGCAGTCATTAAACAGCGAGGTCGAGTCCCTCCCAAAGAACAGTCGCGTACAAGTTCTTCCTATATGTTGGCGCCATTTACTTGACTTCCCTAAACAGAGCCTGAAGCACAATCGAAAAGAATTTGATCTGGGTGAAGCAGATTCAGAAGAACCCGAATATCCTAACCTTGATGACATTACTATTGAAGGGGTGCCAGCCGTGCGCAATCTCATAACCGATCTAGCCTTGGATATTCTGCTTTACCAAAGTCCAGCTTACAAGGCACACATATCGAGGATCGTCCTACAAGAGTGCAATAGAATCCACAAACTATTCAAGCAGAGGCACCCATCTTTTAATGGTAAAGTTAGTCTGGTCGGACATAGCCTTGGTTCGGCGATCATGTTCGATCTCCTTTGTAAGCAAGAAGAAGACGAACAGTACCCCACAAAGCATCAAAATCGGAATCACCGACACCGTAAAGCAAGAGAAGATGTTTTGAAGTTCGACTTTGATGTCGACTCGTTCTACGCTCTTGGAAGTCCGATTGGGCTCTTCCAAATGCTACGAGGTCGCACTGTGGCTGCGAGACAAACGTCCTTTCGCCCAGCTCAGACTCCAGGAGACCCTATGGATGATCCTTTCATGGCATCATCGCCAGCCGTGGAGAGCTTCGATCTCGTTGTATCATCGCCGAAATGTCAAGCAATATACAACAGTAAGCATATGCCCATCACCCTCGTTCTGACCCAATATGACAATGGCAGGCAAAACTAACAGATCGACAGTCTTTCATCCTACAGATCCAATCAGTTACCGAATCGAACCACTTATCTCACCAGCCATGTCTACGTTGAAGCCACAGCCCCTACCGTACACTAAGAGGGGAATTTTCGGGGCGCCTGTCGGTGGCGGTCTCAGTGGTATCGGCCAGAGAGTTGGGGCGAGTGTGTCTGGCTTCTTCTCAAACTTCGGCACTGGAATTGCTAGCAGCCTCCTCAATCGCAGCCTTGGCTATTCTGGAGATGATGGAAAAGGAGCTCAGAGCGCGAAACAGCTTTCACGTGCACCGCCTTCTATGGCTGCAGCCAATCGTGGCAGGTCCTCCTCATCTGCCCTATCAACAGGTGACGGTAGCTCTCAGTCAAATGGAGAAACACAGCGCCGGCTGACTTTGAGTACCGGAGAAATTGGCGAGCACCCCGCGACTTTGATAGACTCTGAACTGGAAACCTTGTATGCCGGCTTCCAGAAGAGGCGGAAGAGTCAGCAGGAGGAAGACAGGGAGCTCGATGAGCAGAGTGCAGAATGGGCAGAGCTTGAGGAGCGAAGCCGGAAGTTACGAAGAGAGGAGGCCAAAGTACGAGCGTTGAATCCCAACGGGCGCGTAGATTACTCCATCCAGGAAGGAGCATTTGACATTTCGCTCATAGCAAGTATCGCCAGCCATCTCTCATACTGGGCCGACGAAGATGTCTCACACTTTACACTGTCCCAGTTGTTATCGAGACAGCGGGTCTTGAAGCAGAAAGTAGAGGGGAACAAAGACCCAAGGCAGTCGGACAAAGCATAGCTGGGAGTAGCAAGGGGGTTATAGACCTAATGTAGCATCTTGGATACATGTGAGAGTTACACCTCAGAGGTAATTACCTCATATTGGTAGTAGTGCATCTCGAGACTATGTCTATGTTACTGGATAGAACTAAGTAGAGTAGGGAAACAAAGGAGTTGCAGCCCTGGAGGTGAGGGGGTGGCATGACGCAATTCTGTGGAGATGTTTGCCCTCCTACGCCACTTGTAGAGATATTCTACAACAGCACCCATTCTCTGAACCTTTCCAATCATAACCATAAAGAATTGGACAGCAAATTATAAGATGCCAGCAACTAAAGTATTCCTGTGAGCTTCGCATATAAGATTATTTTTGGGCCAAACCCTCACACTACTTTAGGACAGGCATCACAGGCTACATTGGCGGAGACATCTTCCACGTCCTTCACGACAAACACCCGGATTGGACATACAGCGTCCTCGTCAGATCGCAGGACAAGGCTGATAAGATCAAAGCAGCTTTCCCAGATGTGCGAACCGTGTTGGGCGACCTGGACAATTCCGCGATCCTGACCGAGGAGAGCTCCGGCGCCAATATCGTTATTCGTAATTAACACAGTCCTATGCTCGACAACGCACTTTTGCTGACAAGTCATCCAATACAGATACAGCCGATGCATCCGACCACGCAGGTGCCGCCAGAGCCATTGCAGAGGGCATCCTGAAGGGCCACAGCAGTGAGAACCCAGGCTACTATCTTCACACCTCCGGCACAGGCATCCTCACATACACCGACTCCGAAGCCGACCGCTACGGCGAGCCCACCGACAAGATCTACGACGACTGGGAAAACGTCGACGAGCTGACCCATCTCCACGATTCCGCTTTCCACCGGGACGTCGACAAGATTGTCCTCGACGCAGGCATCCGCCACGCAGACGTTGTCAAGACGGCAATCGTATGCCCACCGACCATCTACGGTGAGTTTTTTTAGCTTCCGCAACACAAAGACACTTTGAAATTCGCTTCCATCAGTTTCCTTTCTGGTCATCATCATCAAATATGAAACATCCTGACTGAACAAAACAAATCAGGGGCTGGCCGCGGACCCATCTCGTCGCGCAGCCGGCAGGTCCCCGAACTCGCAAAATGCACACTCAAGCTGCACAAAGCGCCCGTTGTCGGCTCTGGCAAGGCCACGTGGAACAATGTACACATTCACGACCTCTCGGAGCTGTACCTCCTGCTCGCCGAGGCCGCAGCATCGTCAGACAACAAGCACAACGACCACGCACAGCTATGGGGTGCCAAAGGCTACTTCCTTGCCGAGAACGGCGAGCACGTATGGGGCGAGCTAGCGAGAGAGATAGCGACCGTGGCGGTGCAGAAGGGATACATCCCGGCGCCGGCGCAGACGCGCGCGATGGGCAAGGATGAGGCATGGGAGACGGCTGATTTCCAGGCGTTGAGTTGGGGCTTGAATTCGAGGGCGAAGGCGAAGAGGGCGAGGGAAGTATTGGGATGGGCGCCGAAAGCGCCTGCGTTGGTGGATGAGGTTCCTGATATTGTTGATGTGGAGTATCAGCTCTTGCAAGAGAACCAGAAGAAAGGGTGATTGAGAATGACTTGGCGCTGTTGTGGTGTTGGGAAGAAGGTTGCGATTGTAAGGGGTACTACGGGTCAGGGTTGATATATACAAGTCAGGGGGCGACAGCTTATAGACATTAGGTACAATAGCACACTGTGCTAGTACTGTGAACGTCTCCTGGGAACATAGAGTCCGGCTACTATGTGGTCTCCATATCTGCGTCTTTTGTCCCTTCGATCACAAATCCTGCCCAGCTCATCGTCCGTACTTTTTTAGTTTAGCAGCTGACATGGATCGCTGTTATTAAAAAAAACTGTTAGTATACGTAATGACAACGTAGAATCAAGGAATCTACTGACCGCTGGCAAAATGTGTATAAGTATCCGCATGATTGAGGTTCTTGTCCGCAGGCAAGCTCTTCACAAAGTCATACCCATATCCATTGTAATCGTCAGTCCCCTTGACAACCCCCAGATGTGTCGACTCATGCAGCAACGACCCGGCGCGATCCTGAACCCGGCACTCGGACGAGAGCGCAGGCGCCTGGTCGAAGAAATAGTCGCAGAACACAATGTAGTTTGTGTCCGTTTGTGTATAGCCAAGATTGCCATTACATACGTGGTCCACATCGGAGCAGTATATCTTCGAGGACCCGCTCGCCATACTGTCACACTGCTCCGCGACCCGGCCGAGCACGTCCTGCACCGTCTTGACCGTGGACGCGCTGGCCGACTTGAAGAATTCCTCCATCTTGTCGGGCCTGCTGCCCGCGGCCTTCTGCGCGGCGATCGCCAGGGCACGGCTGTCTTCGAGCGCGGCGCGTATGATTTCCAGCCTGCTGCCGGTGCAGTCGGACTGGATGAGAGTGCGCTTCTCGCGCAGCTTGGCGTGAGCGGCCGCAGCGACGGAGCCGTCAACGTTGGTTGTGATTCTGTTTGTGGCAAACGGGACGATGTTGCCTAGCTGGTCGACGAATGCGCCCTGGGCGACGACGTCAAAGGGCCCGCCTGCGGTGAGGTTGTGCGTGTGCGCAACGTCGAATGTCTTCTCGATGGTCTGGCCTGGGGCTATGGCCTGGTAGGCGTGCTCGGAGATGTTGTTGGAGGTAGCGATCATGAAACGCAGGCCATGAAAGGGGATCTTATCGCCTGTGGGAAGGGAGGTTAGTATCAGAGAGAGTGTCAGGACGGATACTATGCGTACCTCCTTGGAAGACATCGACTTTCTCGACAGGGGTGTCGTCGAGAATTGTTCCTGTCTTGAAAAGCTTGAGATCCGTCGCACCGGTGTTGGTCAAGGAGGCCTTGATGCCAGAATTGCCCGTGGGCTCGAGTGTCACTTCTAGAGGAGTGTTACGGCTGGCGAGGTCAACAGACGCTGCGCTTACCAGAGCAGCAGCGACCGGAATGGCAGCGAAGAAACGCATGGCTATTTGAACTAGACGGAGTGGTGACCTGTTTCTTCTCGAACTGCGCAATTCTTGGAGCCTGGTCTCGCCGTCAACATGCTCCAGCCGGTCTCCTTATATGCATCGTGGTGGAAAGGCCTGTGCCGAAGGCTCTAGTAACACTTGATATTGAGGGGGTACACGCCCTGCTGGGCTCTCAATCACTATCTGCTCAGTGCTGTACGGCCCCAGGGAATACCATCTACAACGCTACCCAACAGACGGGAGGGCAGGGTTTAGCCAAGATATCAAAGGGATAGCAGAGTCCCTTTGCTATGGCTCAATTAGATATGAGAGAAGTGGAGCTTCGAAATCATAAATACGTCGTTTCGCACTTCCATCGTATCTTCGGAACTTGTCAAACTGTTACACTGTTTGTTTCGCTGCGGCAAGTCCGAACATATCCGGTTGCCCAATCTCGCCGATTCGGCAGATTGAGATGAGAGATGCGGGCCGTTGTCTTGTCCGATGAAACAGATTACTACCCCAGTTGGGCACTCTTGGCATTTTCGTTCTGGAAAGTCTTGGTACATCTTGGCCTGCCCAGGTTCTCTCGCGTACCGTTGGAAGGCTTGAATGATTAAGGTTGGGCTTGGCAACATTTATCATGAACATTCTGACCACTTCGTTTCTAGTGTATCAACAATATAGAAAGAACATCGTCACCATGAGAAACTATTGCATCCATTGCACTACCTAGACTATGAACCTTGCCATTTAAGCAAAGACCTAATCTATGCTAACATTCAAAAATCCCAAATCTCCCCCTCCCTTAATAGCCCTTTCTCCAGCACGTTCCCTCAGATATATTACTTCCTACCCACGTTTCATGTTTCGCTCAGGCCAGGGCTGGCTATCGAACCTTTCTTTTACGCCGTGCTAGCTGAGTGTTTAGGTCATTGCCTGAGCTGGCGAGCTGCTTTTGACGGGCTTGGTATTCGTCGTGCGTTACCCAAAAATCTATTTTCTTTTGAGTTGAGGTGGGTCGGGTGGGAGAGGTCTGCGCGGCTGGCTCCTGAGTGTTCTCGTTGTTCTTTTCGTTGTTGTCGTTATTGGCTGGGGAAGGTGATGAGGTTTGCGAAGTCTCGGTCTCGGTCGGTGGGAGACTTTGCTCGGTTTTTGATGCAGGGTCATTGTTGACGTCCATTTCTTTTCTGTGGAATTATGATAGTTCACGGGTTGGGTTCGCAGACTTTCTGAGTACTTTGCAAGTCGAATGCACCTTTCCAATTGTACTTTATATACCCAGTCTCGCATCTGTCCAGTGTGAAGGAAGGGCTATACAATGCTGCCAATGGTGCCGGCGATACACAATGCTAGCAATGGCGCCGGCGATACACAATGTTGTGTCTCTCTTCAGCGTCAGGAGGACTATGTAACGCTTGTTGCTTTGAACGCGTAATTGGACAACGTGGTATCCACCCTATCCCATCGTCACTCATCACTACTGTTACTGAGTGAGACTGTAGTATCACATCAGAGGCTGCACTCGCAGCAAGGTATTGTATCAGGAAAATTCCACGGCAATTGGCGAGATAAACAGGTGGATATAGTACAGACGTGCGAGTCCAGAATTCAAGTCCGATACGACCTCATAGAAGTATCTCCCAAATCTCCTGAAAATCCGTCTTAGTAGTGTGTACAAAGTATGATGATGATGCCAGTTTCGTCATGGTCATTCGGTCATAATCCGGTGCTCCCTCTTCGAAAGTGTTTGATAGGCCCAACACCATAGATCCCGTATGAACAAATCGTCCCTTTCCGAATCTCCCCAACGCCAACGCGAAGGCCAATCTTCGATGAGCCCCATTTCAAAATAACGCACTCGAACTTGTCTTGCTCTCAAATCATGCCTTCCTAGACCGCGCAGACCCGGAGGCAGACGAAGAGCCAGTACTGCGGGATCCTGTTAGTCGCGACACATTACCAAATTCACCACCATGTGTATTCGGACTTACGACGCCTTCTGCTCCTTCGTCAACTTCTTCCCTGCTGACTTGTCGTCCTGCATCCAGCCCATGACGGGGCTCTTGTACGCCGGAAACGAGGCATTATTCCACACGTTGACAAGCACATTCTGCGTCTTGTCCGCATAGTCCTCGTCCCGCACCTCCTTGACGCCGACCTTCATGCCGTCCTTTGTGAAGGTGACGTTTTTCTTCTCCATGTTCTTCAGGCCCTTGTCTTTGAGGTCGTTGGCGTAGAGGTACATCTGGTAAAATGAATGTTAGCTCTTTCTCTGCAAGAGAAGAGACAGTAAGAGAAAGAAAGGACGGACCTGGTAGCCAACATAGGCCATCGCTCCGATAACACCGAAGAGAATGACGAGCGGTATCAGTCTCCAAAAGGCACCCATTCTGGCACTGTTGTATCCTGACGTGCGATCTGTGGTAGTGATATATGCCGATAGCCTCGCGCAGAATATAGCCAAAAGCACGGCAGTCGATTCCGACGTATGCGCAGGACTCAAAGTCTCGTGTGTTGGTATGACGCTGTGCTCTCGGTATGTATGTCAAGGAGATCGGATCGCATTCGACGAGTACTATGATCAAGGGAATGTCGAATATCTGGCAAGATGCTAAGGCAAAAAAGTTGAAGGCAGGCGACCCTGGAAATGTGATTGAGAGACACAGGACAGGATATCCCAGACACTCTCGGATATAGATCCCAACCCAGCACAAATCGTCGCAGCACGCTGAAACGGGTCGTTGCGCGCATGGGTGGCGCGAGCCGCGACTAACGGCGGCAGTCGATTGGTGGGGTCTCGCCTCAGCTCAGAGCTTGGTGGGGGTTGAGTGGTGGGGCTTAAGATTGCTTGTGACAGGCGGTTTTCTTGCATAACTGAACATGACTATAGCATGGCTGAATGTCTTGGATATGTCTATCATTGTGCCACGCACACACTGGGACGAGACACGGCCAGCTACGAAGTTCGACATTATTGAAAGCACATAGCATCATATATTGAACAACGCTACTTCATGAAATCGTGACTACCGAGGAGTGAACGCTACTATGAGAAGATGTGAAATACTACTACTGGAAGAATGTAGCAAAGTTGGATTTGTACATATATATAAAAATATAGTGACAGTCCCGAGCACACCTTGTTGTACTATGCCGCTATTCATATACGACCAAAGCGTGGCACTTCTGTCGCTGTGGTCTAACGAAGCCACTGTTCATTCGTCCGGAAAGATGTCGAGCATCACAGAATCATGCAGTATTGGCACAAGGGACTGGACAGGCTGGACATGACGTATATCTGCAACTATGTTTTTGAAATGTCTAGCTAGACGAATGCCTGCAGACCTGTGATGGCTCGGCCTAGAATAAGAGCTGTGAACGATTAGCATAAGTCAAACAAACAAAAGCATATGAATACTCACAGTGGATATCACTCTGGCCCTCATAAGTCTGCGTCACGAACAGATTCGCCACATGTCTTCCAATATGATATTCATCACTGACAGCATTGCCACCAAAGATCTCCTGCAGATTTCTCGTATTGATCAGTGCACGATCGCAATTCTGCCTCTTAATCATTGAGATCATCTCTGGCGCGGCCTTGCCCTCGTCCTTTAATCTACCAACCTGATATGCGGCCAAGATGCCATATGCCGCATCCGTTGTGGCGTCTGCGAGCTTCTTCTGCACCAACTGGTACTTGGCGATCGGGTTGCCCTTGAACTGCTTCCTCTCAAGAGCATACTCCCGCGCGCGAGCAATCGCATCTTCCAGTGCGCCCATCGTACCCCACGCAATCCCATATCGTGCAGAATTCAGACACGAGAACGGACCGCGCAGACCCTCCACCTCGGGGAACATGTTCCCTTCCGGCACCGGACACTCGTCCATCTGAATCATGCCCGTCAGAGAAGCCCTCAGCCCATTCTTGTTCTTGATTGCCGGCGTCTCCAGCGTGCCGGGCGGACAGAGCTCTCTCTCAACGACAAACCCGCGGATCTTCCCCGTGCTCTCCAGCTTCGCCCACACAAGCAGCACATCCGCAATCGGACTGTTCGTGATCCACGTCTTACTCCCGCTGAGCGAGTAATACCCCTTCTTGCTCGGATGCGGCTTCGCGACCGTCTCCATGCTTCCCGGGTCCGAGCCGTGGTTTGGCTCGGTGAGGCCGAAACACCCTATGCTCTTGCCAGACGCGAGTTTGGGCAAGAGCCGCTCCTTCAGCTCCTCAGTGCCGAACTCCTCGATGCCGCCCATGGCAAGCGAGGATTGCACGGACATGCCGGAGCGGTACCCAGAGTCGACTCGTTCGACGGCGCGGGTGATGAGTCCGGACGCGACGCTGGACACGCCCGCACAGCCGTATCCCTTGATTGTGGCGCCAAGGAGACCGAGCTCGCCCATTTCTTCGAGGATCTTGGGGTCGTAGTGCTCGTCGCGATAGGCGTCTGTAAGGTATACATTGTCAGCGGCAGTACTTCTTATGTTCTAGAAGTGGAATTACCGAGTACACGCGGGAGCATACGCTCCTGGCAGTACGACTCCGCGGTCTCTGCTATGGCGAGCTCATCTTCGGTGTATAGGTTGCTGGCCCCAAGAGGGTCCTTCCAGTCGAATGCCGCGGGGGTGCTGGCGTGGCGACGCTGCTGTTGTTGTACGGCGGCTCGGGAGGTAGAGGACGTCAATTGCCTTGCGGCACGTGTGCATACTGGTCGGAACATCCTGTAGCCAAGAGAATTATATACAGAAGATGTAAGGATAGAGAGTTTGAAGCAAGCGTGAAGACCATTTCAGCCGGACTCGGCATACTATGACGAGTATCGGCTAGCTAGTCGAGATGCCTCGGAGCTCTGTCGTTTTCATGTAGAGACTGTTGTACTATATGAAAATGGAGTCCAAAACCTGAGATACATGATTGAATAATGCGCTCGAACCAGAGTATAACAATTCCAGTGACCAATCAAAGCAGTGCGGGACTTGAGATTGTGAAAATGCAAGTGAACGTGATGATCATCCTTGCAGGTAGGGCTGGGGTCGACGCGCTAAGCCATTTACGGGCATAATTAGGTACTTGCCTCCTACTGTACGCGACTCCGACGCGACTGGCGTCATGATTTCTGCTTGCTCTATACATGTCTTCCAGGAAGACGACTCACCAATCGTGACAAACCTCGCACGTGCGGACCTTCAGTTAAGATGGGTATTAAGAGTAAGTTTTCTGTCCCCTACTCTGATTCTCACAATAACGTCTTCAGATCTCTTCCAGATCATCAAGGAGAATGCTCCCGATGCCGTCAAAGAGGGCGACATCAAAAACCAATTCGGCCGCAAGGTCGCAATTGACGCGTAAAGCTCACCTTCTGCAATACTCATTCCTTTATGCTCCTTAACTGATGTCGCGCTGTACAGCTCCATGTCCATCTACTCCTTCCTCATTGCCGTGCGCTCCGACGGCCAACAACTCATGTCTGACACGGGCGAAACCACCTCACACATCATGGGCATGTTCTACCGCACACTCCGCATGGTCGACGCCGGTATAAAGCCGCTTTACGTCTTCGACGGTGCTCCACCAAAGCTCAAATCCGGTGAATTGGCAAAGCGCTTCCAGCGCAAGTCCGAAGCGCAAGAAGCACACGAGGAGGCAAAGGAGACGGGAACTGCTGAAGAGGTCGAGAAGTTTAGTCGTCGCACGGTGCGTGTCACGCGCGAGCATAACGCCGAGTGCCAGCGTCTGCTGAAACTCATGGGCGTGCCGTATATCGTTGCACCGACGGAGGCAGAGGCGCAGTGTGCGGTGCTGGCCAAGGGCGGGAAGGTGTTTGCGGCGGCGAGCGAGGATATGGATACGCTGACGTTTGACGCGCCGGTGCTGCTACGACACCTGACATTCAGCGAGCAGCGCAAAGAGCCGATCCAGGAGATACATTTGGAAAAGGTGCTAGAGGGCCTCCAGATGGACCGCAAGCAATTCATAGACATGTGTATTCTGCTCGGGTGTGACTACGTGGATCCGGTCAAGGGCATTGGCCCGAGCACGGCACTGAAGCTGATACGCGAGCATGAGACGCTGGAGGGTGTGGTAAAGTTCTTCGAGTCCTCAAAGAAGTACACTCTACCAGAAGATTGGCCGTATCAGGATGCGCGTTTGCTGTTCCTCGAGCCAGATGTTCGCTCAGTGGACCACCCGGATTGTGACTTTAAGTGGGAGGCGCCGGACACGGAGGGACTTGTTAAGTTTCTCGTTGAAGAAAAGGGCTTCAACGAAGATCGAGTGCGCAACGCTGCAGCAAGACTATCGAAGAACTCAAAGAGCGCTCAGCAGAGTCGACTCGAGGGCTTCTTCAAACCCGTCGAGAAGACGGCAGAGCAGAAGGAGAGCTTGAAGAGGAAGAACGATGCAAAGGTCGAAGAGAAAAAGAAGAAACAAAAGCAAGAGGCAAAGGCTAAAAAGGATGCCAAAGCCAAACCACGAGCTGGTGGTGCTTGAGACCAACCCTGCGAGGCCGAATTTTCTGTGGCCAGGCCACTTTGAGTCATGGCGTTTTTAAGGAACACTTAGGAATGGCGTTATGTGGTGGTTCTATATACTAACAGTCGGGCATGCGAACAGGAATGATTCACTGAGTTTCAGCATGACCTAAGTCACAGTGATAGTATGTATGACTGACATACATTATGAATCAATGGAAGAAGCGATATCAAGTCACCACCTGCATGGAGAGGAACTAGGCAGATATATGGTTAACATCTATACACAGATAATCTGATTATTCCATTTCAAAGACGCCAGCCTGTCTCAATTGTTTCCTCAAGTCGCGTAGCGAACTATCCTATTCCGTTGAGCGATACGCTATTCATTACATTCTGTACCTAGATTTCCTTCATGCGACCTTCACTAGTCTGTTGTCGCTTACTTCGCCTTGGCGAGACCAACGCTGTTAGAGCCGAGGTCGTAGATGGAGTACCACTTGCGAAGGAAAGAATCACCAAGAATGGCAAGAGGACCAGCAGGTTCCGGGATATCCATACCCATGAAAGATGAAATACAAGAGCCCTGGACCTCAAGAATGTAGTCGTAAGCGGTGATGGTGAAGTTGTGGCCGGTGAGGGTGAAAGTCAAGTCGGGAAGGCTGTCGCGCTTATTGCACTCGATGGTGTACTGGCCGTTGAAGGACTTCTTTGCGCCAATCTCCTTGTTGAGAAGCTCAGCCATAGTAGAAGGAAGTGCAATGAGGGAAGTGCCAGTGTCCAATATAACACCAGTGTCATCAATCTCAGCAGTGGTGTCACCAAAAGTGATAGCGTCAAGGTCGACCTCCCAGTAAGCCTTGCGGCGGAGAGGAATCTTGGTCACTTCGCCAGTGTAGTGGCTCTTGTCGACGCCACCAAACGTAGCCTCTGACTCGTCGCCATTCTCGCTGCTGGAGAGGTAGAAGGCGAAAAGTGGCTCGTCGAGTTGCTTGTTCTCGATCATCTTGTAAACTGGTGGGGGGATCTTGTTGACAGAAATTGTGTCATAACCAAGACCCATGATGCCGTCAAAGCGGCCGAAGGCGAAGGCAAGACCTGGCTCAGAGGTGGCCTCAGCGAAAAGCTGGTTCTTGACCTTCAGGTCACCGATTTGGAAGGTGTCCTCGGAGACGTATCCGCTCAAGCTCCCAGAGCCGTAGCGGATCTCGAACGAGGAGCCGTTCTTCTTGTAAGTGGAAGAATCATCATGGCTGTACTTGTTGTGGAGGTAGCAGGCGATGGATGTGCACTCGGCTGATGGGACCCATAGGTTGGAGCTGCCAGTGTCAAGGATGACCTTGAATTCTTGGGGAGGAGTTCCGACGGCGATGGTGGAAAAGTCTGAGTAGGTGTCAGCGGATGAAAGATGAGTATGGTCACGGGCTTCAACCCACATTGAGCGTTCATGAAGTTCTCAACAGGGACGGGATGGGCGCTCTCAGGATTGATTTGACCGGTGTTGATCATGTTATCAACGTGCTGAGGAGCATAGGCACCCATGTACTTCTGGGTGAGGGCTCGGGCATGATCACCGATGTTGGAGGCTTTCTGTCAAGCCTGTCAGTTAAGATACGACATGAGATGATAATCAATGGAGACTCACCAACTGGTCCGACAGAGGCACCTTCTGGAGCTTCAGCTTGTGAACTCCGGCCGAAGCCGAGCCAAGCAGCGCAGCCGCTGTGGCGATAGTGGCAGTCTTCATGGTCACGACCCCGAGACGACGAATAGAATAAGGTTGTGAGAGAGTTGTGTGTATGAGCGAAAGGTGATGGACAAGAGAGATGAAGGTGGTAAACGGAGGAGGAGGAAGAGGCGGAGGAGTTGAGTGAGGAGGGAGAAGAGCGCGGGCTGGGGAAGCTTGGAGGAGCAGTTGCCTTAGCGATGATGCTGTCAGAGAGGGCTCGGGCCAGTCACAGCACAGTGGGACGCCTCATCCCACAGGCACTCAGGCACACATACAGTACCTACCGGGCAGGCACCACCGCGCATGACGACTTGTCTCCACCTTTCCTAAGCAGGGGTCTTCAAGGCTATTGCCTCACTTGGCATTCCAGAGCACTCTCAGTCCATTGCGCCTCTCTGGATCCAACATCTCTACCATTCCTACAGCACTACAGCTCGCATCATATTGTCCGACTACTCGATTTCATTGCCTGTCTATTGTTGAGAGGCTGGCATTATGGAAATGTATACTTCCGATGCGAACCAAGAACGCCACGCTAGCAAATGCGCCACATGAACATAGATCACCAGGCACAACCAGCCGAGGCCAGTCCCAAGCTTAATTATGCGCCCCCGATATTGCTCTGCGCATGGCACCAGCTAGAATGCACTTGCACTTGTATTTCGAAGGAGAACAGGCTTTTGACGCCTTGGAGGAGAAAGACGACACTGAAACGAGGATTTATCTGACCAATTAACGGGCCGTTATCATATCTTAACCTTAAATCTCCATCCGACCTTGACAACTCTTGCTGCGATCAAGGTAAAGCAACCACAGAGCATCATGGTACCTGCCCACATCTGTGCGTCCAGATATTTCCCATCTGCGTTTGTAATGAGCGCTCCGGCTACAGATGGACCCGTTAAGGCTGCGAAGGACACGATCGTGAATCCCATGCCCAAACGCGTACCCGCTTTCCGTAAATCCGAGGTCAAGCTTGATAACGTTGCTGGAAATAAGCTCTGGATACCAGCAGCAGAAAGGCCGTAGAACGCAGAGAAGGCAATAAGACCACCTCTGTTGCTGACGCCTGACCATGCAAAGAACATGATTCCAGATAGGAACGAGAACGGTATGATGCTGTTCAATGGACCAAAATACTTATCTGCGAGGTAATTCGGTATCAAGCGACCAGGATAGCCAACACTGTTCAGGATGAGTAAGTAATTAATTGAATCTTCATAGCTGACGCCAATCATGTTGCGACCGAAAGAGCCGACCTGCAAGTGCTGTCAGTCAGCTGTTGCCGTCAATGCGGACATACTCACGTAGTAGAAAGCGAAATACAGACTCCAGAAGTTTAGGAACATGCCGATGCAGTATAGTGTATAGGGGATTTCCTTGAAAGCACTCCACTCAACAAGCGGCCCTGCTTTGCGCGGTGGTAATCGAGTCCTCAGAAATGCAATTGATATTAGACCAGTACCCATTGTCACGAACCCAAGCACACGGACAGTTGTGCCGAAGCCCAACTTTGGAAGTAGCTGCCGCACCAGTACAGAGTACACTATACCACCTGTAGCTGATCCAGACGCCACGACACCCAGAGCCGAAGAGCGTCGTTTGGCAAAGTAGGTCGTTATCAAAGTCATCGTTGGGGCGAATTGAAGACCGTTGCCCAGCCCTGTACAGACCCCCTGTGCAAGGAACAGCTGCCAATACTTTGTCGACAGCGACGTCATGAATGTGCCTATGAGCTGCAGCACAAAACCAGTGACGAACACAGGACGGAAGAAGCCTGCATCAGTCGCACGGCCAGCAGCAGTGCCGATGAAGAACAGGAGGAAGATCTGTATCGATCCTACCCATGAGATATCTGCTGGTGGTCGATTTAGTGTCTCAGTATAGTAAGATTGGAACACCCCGAAACTCGAAATATAGCCCCATGTGTTGAATATAACCTGTCATGATCAATTGCGGTCCTCTCAAGATGATTCTTAACGCACCAGGTGACCCATAGCCACCTGTAACCAAGCATCCAGTCCTCCATCCGGAGGAGGGCCAGGGTCTTGTCGAGTTGAAGTGATTGAACGACCAGTTATTATTCTAGAGAGAGCGCTGGTATTATGGTCTCGTGTCGTTGTTCTTTCGATAGCTTCTGGCTGTAATTCCTCTGCAGCTTCAGCAGGATAAAAGTCCGGACGCTCGTTTGAGGGCCCGTCATCGTCATGAGAGTCTAGACTATGACGATGGTGGTCTTTCTCGTCAAAGTCTTCCTTAATAGAGCGAGTCATCCTTGACCTGATGGCTGGTGCAAGTGTGACACGAACGAGCAATCAAGAGAGATCCAAAATAACCCAAAATCAAGCCAATATACCCATTGACTATATATCCACATGGCTACGACTCATCGGAAGCGTTTTTGCACACAAAATTTCAATTAGTAATGATAGGGCGCGATGACGGCGTCGTCGATCAACTCAAACATGCCTGTCTAGTGGAAGGTCCAGCGTGTCCACGGTAAGAACTGGGGAACAATTTAAGTGGCTAAAATGCGTGCCGTGATGCCGGCCGAGGAGGACGTTTGGAAGAGTGGGTATCTATCTACCCTATTGGTGTCCCAGTCGAAATATTACCATTATCGAGCGAGGTCGGTTGTTCAGGGTTGCTGCATATATCCCTTGGAGGAGCATACCTGAGTCACCAGGACATAGTTGTAGAGTGCATTGTACACGCCCTGCAGGAGGTCATCGAGGCAGCCACAGCATTGACAGCATCATGAACGATCCTTCTGTGTACTCATGTATACGCTTCACCGCTGGAGACAACGCTTCGTACAACTTCCTAGCGAACATATACGTGTGAATGTCGATACACTGATTGAGCCAGCTGAAGCATTAGACGCCCAAATACACGTTTCTTGTGTTTTCGATGGCCGATAGCGTTTCGATATGACCAGTCTCAATTCTCAACGTTGAGGAGTCTGACAGGTTGACAGGCACCAGTTCGGCATACTGCACTGTAACTGCAACTGCAACAACAACAACAACAACAACAGCTCTGTTTGCCAAATCATGTGGTTGTGAAGATCGAAGACGCAAAAATGACCCGCACCGCCCATCCGATCTATGCCATGCACGGACTTACCTCGGACCTAAGCCAACGCGTCATCCATGCACGAGGGCGGAGGGAAGCCTGACCACTGCAGTCTAAACACGGTTCTATTATTACTTCTTTCATGTCAACTTACCACAAAACACCAGGGGGTAATCGCTCAATATGGCGCCTGATAGACAAGCCTTGATGCAGCACCACTTTAAACCACTATATGCCATTCCGAAAGCCTCTTTTCTCTATCCTATAAAGGTACCCAAAGTCGTCCATGTCTCGTTGCCAGCGTGCTAATGTCTACCTGTTCAGGGCCTGTGGTACTTTGTCACTCACCCTTTTCTATATCCCCTGTTACGGGCCAGACTACTTCCAGCCGTCCTCCTTTCTGTATTTGTGCTCTTCATTCTCTTCTTCTTCACCTACCTGCCGCAGGTAGCCTTCCTAGCCATCTTCCACCGCCAAGGTGCGTGGGTGAACGGTACATTCCTTGTGCTAGGTGAAGGCGCTGTTGTCGTCGCTCTTCTTTTCGAAGCCTTCTTTGTAGACGAGACACAAGTCGACATCTTCGACGCTGTAGGTATCTCGCACTTTCCACGCGGCAGCTGACTAACGTACAATTAGGTTCTCGTCGAGAAGGGTTATGGAGCACTTGTTTCATCAAGACGTCCTGTGAATGAAGAAGGCGACAATCCCGTCAAGCGCCTCGGAAAGCCCACGAGATCATCAATCTATGCACCATTCTCTCTACGCCAGATAGTGGAGCTTGTCCTGCTACTACCACTGAATTTCATCCCGGTCGTTGGTGTGCCTCTATTTCTTGTCCTGACTGGCTATCGTGGCGGTCCGTTCCATCACTGGCGCTACTTCAAACTGCATGACTGGACCAAGAGTCGAAGGCAGGAGTGGGTGAGAAAGCGTAAATGGTCGTACACTTGGTATGCTGAAGCCAGGTATCACCCCTACCTGAAATGCTAACACGTCACAAGGTTTGGCACAGTTGCTCTAGTACTGCAGCTTGTGCCTGTGCTAAGCATGTTTTTCCTCATGACGACCGCAGCAGGTGCAGCATTGTGGGCTATCGAGCTCGAGGAGAGACGACTTCTACTTGAAGACGTCCCAACGACGGGTCCGGAATTCTCCGATGATCCGGCGTGAGCATTCATCAACGTTAAATTGGCCGTACATGGTGCTGAGGACGATTATGGCTATGAGTCCAACGCACAGAGATATGATTGTGTTGTGCTGGCTGACACTCAAATGTCGCGTCAGCCGCAAGCAAGCCTTGCCTAAGGCTGCAGTGCATAACTTCTGCACCAGCTAAACAATAGTTGATCGCTTATTCTTCCGGTCCATTTTCGACGCATCTACCACATGTGGACGTTGACCTTCCTTCGTTTGAGTAATGCGGATGCGCAAGGACCGGTCTGTCCCGCTCGCCCAATACAAGTAATCTTCAAAATCCGAGCTTCAAAAGAGAGCGACATTTCATCCTGCAGGACAAGCAAAAGTCTGCCCTGACATATATTGTCGTCCCGCAGCATTCCTCACCACTGTTTTCTGGGACCTGCACGCTACAACGGTCTCTTTGCTCCCTTGCACCAGGTACGCGGCTCTAGTGACTATTGTCAGCATTAATCCAAACCGCCTCGGCAACGTCATACCTACCTAAATCCTTAGCCTTTACCCTATCAAATAATCGATACTTCGCTCGTCTACATAGAGTTCTGAATTTCCTCACTCGATTGTTTTTGTATGCCATTTGACTCTGTGATATTCTAGCAGGTATTACGAAAATGCTTGTTTCGCGGCCTCCGGCGTATTTCGGCGGATATATACGGAGCTTACGAAAATACACCAGTTCGCAATGCCTTGTGTGTGCAGCCGAGCTATACCGGAGCTTCCATACTACGGCGGTTCCTGAGTTCAAGGGAACGTCAAAGCTGGGTTTTACAGTTGAGAAGCTAGATAAGCGGCGAGATAGTGCGTAAATTGCTATGCTACAACAAGTGTACTTCTTCTCACATCATTTACAGACAGAGAAAGAGTGGTCATTTTGGGATCTGGTGATATACAGCGTCTCGTCCAGTGTAAATGCAAACACTGATCAGGTACAGGCTGGGCCGGTTTCAACCTTGCACGCCAACTCGACCCGAAAAAGTTCCAGGCCGTTATTGTATCGCCGCGCTCATATTTTGTTTTTACGCCCCTTCTGGCTTCCACATCTGTCGGCACGCTTGAGTTTCGCACTGCTCTAGAGCCGATACGTTCAAAGAAATCGAAAGCCGTGTTCTTCCAGGGATGGGCGGATGATATTGACCTACAGAACAAGACGCTGACAATCGAGGAGAATGTCGACGACCCTGGTCAATCGCTCGCCCCGACAGGTGGCCGAGACCATCTGGAAAGTAAAGAGGAACGCGAGATGAAGCGTATGACCAAGCAAAAGAAAGGTAAACTGTTTGATCTCAAGTTTGACAAGCTTGTCATTGCAGTCGGGTGTTATAGCCAGACCTTTGGCACACCCGGTGTACGAGAGAACGCATTATTCCTGAAAGATGTTGGCGACGCGCGGAAGATCAGGAATCGTCTCCTCTCATGTACGCTTAACCCACATTCACTCATGGAGTCAAGAAGCATACATTGACCACAGCGCAGGTTTTGAGAGTGCCTCCCTCCCGACAACCTCATCCGCCATGAAGAAGATTCTCCTGAACTTTGCCGTTGTTGGTGGTGGCCGTACAGCTTCCTTTCTAGCTTCGAACTCCTCAAACTAACAACCCTCGCAGCAACCGGGATCGAATTCTCCGCCGAACTGCACGATCTCATATCCGACGACCTCTCCCAGCTCTACCCGGACCTCATGAAATATGTGCAAATCACAGTCTACGACGTCGCACCACAAGTACTATCCATGTTCGATGCCAATCTTGGCAAATACGCCATGAACGCTTTCAAACGCGAGGGCATCGCCATCAAGACGTCGCACCACGTCGAGAACCTCCGGCCCGGCCCGCCGCAGCACGTCAAAGACGCAGGCACCATCCACGACGAGCACACCGTGTATACGCTCCAGCTGAAGGAGCTCGGCGAAGTCGGCGTCGGCATGGTCGTATGGAGCACCGGACTGATGATGAACCCGTTTGTCGAGCGCGCCATGGGCAAGTCCCAAACGCTGCATGTCCCGCACACAAAGTCCGTCGACTACGCCGATGACGGCGCGCCCACGAGCGACTGGGTCGTGCAGAAACACCCAAAGACGGGCGCCATCGTGACAAACGACAAGATGCAGGTCCTCCTCTCGGTGCCGCCTGTCACGTCGTCGTCTAGCGATGCCGCAACCGATGCCTCGACCATGACGCTGCAGGACGTCTTCGCAATCGGCGACTGCGCCACGCAGGCTCACGCATCCTACCCGGCAACAGCGCAGGTCGCGAACCAGGAGGCCATGTGGCTCGCGAAGCGCCTCAACCGAGACGATCTCGCAACACAGCACTTTACATACAAGGATCTTGGCGTGATGGCGTACATTGGCAACTGGAAGGCGATTGTGCAGACCAAAGGCGGGAATATAAGTGGGCAGACGGCATGGTTCATCTGGAGGGGCGCATATCTGACCAAGAGCGTGAGCTGGCGGAACAAGATCCTGATCCCGATGTATTGGTATGTCGCGAACGTGGTTGGAGCAGCGATCTTGCAACGGTAGTACTGACTTGTCTCCCAGGTTCATCAACTGGGTGTTTGGACGTGATGTATCGCGCTTCTGATGAAAATTCGGATATCTTTAGGGGGCGTTTTGAAATGGGCGCGTTCAGGAGTTTGTCAAACCGGCGAGAATGAACGATTACGATATTGGAAACTCGACAGTATTACTAGTGGTGGTGGTGCACAGCGGCTCGACGTTACCATTACCTATATACATACATACATACATATACATACACCTATCCTCAAAGTCTGGGTAATCAGCCGCAAATAAATCAACAGCGTAAAAATCCTCTTGTCTGAGAATAAAGCTAAACCAATATATATACATACATACATACATACATACATACATACATACATACATACATACATACATACATACATACATACATACATACATACATACATACATACATA